GAAACGTCAGCCTTCCTGCTCCTCTGATGCTGCTTGGCCTGCTGTGTTCATCCAGCTCTACGCTTTGTTATCTCAGATTCTCCAGTATCTGCAGTTCCTACTATATCTGAATCGATTAAACATTGCTTGATAGGCAACTATTACTCAAAAGTACAGAAAGTTAAAAGTTATTCATGCTTTGCCGCAACCACTGACCTCACCCTTCATACTTATCCATTACCACAGTCTTCATGGGTTAGGGTCTTCTAAAAAGTCATAACCACTGTCAACCCCAAATGAGTCACATCTCCTTGTTTTGTTTAGTAATATTGACTGATCATTGAACGTGCATCCCACAGTTTTTAGGGAATTTCCAAATTGACTACAGTGGGCCACAAGTTCCACTTAATTTCTCCTCTTGATTTCACCAGCGCAAATAACCGGGAGTCTTGACATTTCCATGAGATATACCATATTTGACCTGAGACTGTCCGTTGTCCTGTGTTCTGCCTGGTAGTTTGCTGAAGACCCTTAGCCTTCTCCACTTGGTTAACCACATAGCTAAATCCTTCTGTATCTGCAAAACTGCTTTCTGTGCAAAAACTTGAAGACTGCACGTCTGTGCTCGGTTAGCTCAGCTGCTCCTGCTTTTGTTTTCAGGTGCACTCGTTTTGTACTTTGCTCCCAGTAAGTCTCAACTTGGCCCCTGTTCCCATGGTAACCAAGTCACTCCGACATATTGTCAGGCACAGTTCAAAACAAATCGTATGACCGTCTTCGTTCCTCCATTTTGCCTTTCCATAGCATAATCTATGTGACGGTTTAGCTGGGAAGTAAAATCCAGCAACCATTTACTTAGTGAAGATTTTGCTGCAGTAGGTTCACTTCTCTTCTCTTCTCCCAACATAAGTGCAGTTCCACCAACCGCTGGAGAACCAGCTTCAGCAAAGATGTGCTAATCCAAGGGTGGCTTTATTGAAGATGCTTTTTGCAGTCTTTGGTTTGCCAGCTCGTTCCAGGATTTGTTTGGAATAGTGGTCTGAAATTCATGACCCTCTCTTGCCATGCTTTCAAAATGCTGCATCAGCAATCCAACACTCCCTTTGTGCATGTGGTGTTTTATTTTTGAAACACATCTTTCCCTTTTTTGGTCTATATTTTTGCATATAATACACTAGTCTTATGAAATATCATTCTACAATTCTTCAAAAAGGTTGCTTGGTCTTCTTTGTTTTTCTTGTAGATGGTGACATGGCAGAAACTGCAGCTTGATGTTTGTGTAAAAATGAACCTGCACTCCATCACTGAAGTGGCTTGGGATGCTATTTGCTGTCATGTATTGAATTAAGAGTACCATTTTCCCTACTTTACAAGTTGATCTGAACTATAATTCAGTAAGAACTGTTTAGTTTGATTTAAATAACTTTTTGAATCACCTTATGAAAATGTGGCTAACCTGTGTTTTGGTGGCAAAGCAATAATTGTAGATTCTGCAACATCAGATTCTTGATGACTGATTTGGCAGTACTCTTGGCAGCAAATTGGAAACTTAACTTGCTCCTCTACCTCAGCAAACTCATGGAATAAAATTTAGGAACAGAAAATGTAGAAATATAGGAAATGAGAACTGAAGTGGGTGATTTGGCCCATTGAGTTCCCTCTGTCATTCAACATGGTCACAGCTGATCCTCTATCTCAATACCTTACTCCCACTTTCTTCTCCTTCCGCTTGGCTGATATATCGTCTAGAAATCTATTCATTTTTCTCTTAAAAGTATTCAGTGAACTTGCCTTTCCAGCTTTGTGTTGTAGAGAATTCCACAACTTCACCACCCTCATTTCTCAGACCAAAGTTGCCTACTGCAAATCTTGGGACTGTGATCTCTTGTGTCTCCACCTCTTTCTTCCTCCCTCCACTCCTCCCCCACAACAAAGCCAGAGGAAGCCTTGTCCTTGCATCCAGTCTGTCCAGCCCTGTCAAAATTTTGAATGTTTCAGTGACAGCCTCTTTCCCCCACCCACCTTATTCTTCTAAATTCCAGTGAATTCAGACTCAGTTGACGCAATCTGTCCTTGTATGACAAACCCAGGCATCAGTCTGATGAACCTTTGCTGTACTTCCTCTGTGGTAAGTACGTTTTCTTGGGAAAGGAGACTAGGTTTGGGTGGATCTGTCACTACAGGATTCTTAAATAACCCTTTCTCATTGCACAAAAACAAAACTAGGATAGCCTGGCTCTGAGTTGGTTCCCTAGTGTACTGGTCTAAAAATTCATCTTGTGTACACTCCAGGAATTCATCCACCACAGTATGATTGCAAATGTAACTTGTCAAAACTGTATGTAGGTTAAAATTGCCCATGCTTCATGTAGCACCCTTATGGTATGCATCTCTGGCTGTTTAATGTCATCCCCTACCTCATTACTCCTGTTTGCAAACATTCAGACATCTTCCACTAATGTTCTCCATCCTTTGTTGTTTTGCTTCTTGGTTCTGCCCATTCCTCATCAAGATTTCCTGCGTCAGTATCTTTGCTCACTGTTGTACTGATTTCATTAATGTTGCCATCTCAACTTCTTTTCCATTTTGACAGTCCTTCTTAAAGATTATATATCCTTCATTGTACAGTTTCTAGCCTTGGCACCCTACAGCTATGAATCCTTCATCACTATGAACTCGTACCCTTGTCCAACTACTTGTACTGTTAATTCATCTACCTTGTTGCAAACATTGCGCGTTCAGATATAGTGCCTTTAGACTTGTCTATTTGGCATTTTAACACGTCAATTTTTGTACTCCTCCATGCTTTGCTGCCCGTCCTTGCTTCCTCTGCCGTCGATTTTTGCTTTCTATGCTTCTATCTTTCTTTTTTATTTTGTTTCCCTTCATCTGGTGTCCCTGCTCGGGTTCCAATGTCCCCCACCACTCTCGTTTAAATCCTCACTACTGTACTAGGGTATGCCCCTTTGAAGATACTAGTTTATGCCCTGCTGGGTCCAACCTTTTCAACTTGTACAGATACCATCAAAACTAAATCTCCTCCTCCTGCTCCTCCATCCCTCCAGCCACACTGCATTTGGGTTATTCTCTATTCTTGATTTCGTTAGCATGTAGCAATCCGAAGATTACAACCTTTTGAGGTCCAGCCTTTTAATGTATTGATTGTAGGATTGCATTCTGCTTTTTGCCTACACTGTTGGTACTAATGTGGACAATGACCTCTAATTGTTCTTCCTCCACCTTCAGAAAAACCTGCAGCTGCTCATTCGCCTCCTTGCCCACCAGGAGCCAACATTTTTCATTTGCATGTGTGTCTGCAGCCGCAGAACTATCTATCTCTTCCCCTTTCTGATAGAAATCCTCTACCAGCATCCAGCCGCATCAATTCCACAATGATATGAGTTGTCTATGTTCTTGCAGCATTTTAAAGGCTAGTGCTCTTGCGTATTTTTTCCCCTCCCTCAGGCCATGCAGCTGAACCACTCCTGGTGCCACAGTCTTGGGTTTTGTTGCATTCCCCTGAAAAAGCTTGCCTACCCCACCCTCAAGCAGAATAAAAACACACAATCTGTCAGTGAGTGAGATAACCCAGAGGATTCCTGTACTATCTGTCTGGTGGTCACCCTTCCCTTTCTGCCTGTACACTCTTTACCTCTGGTGTGACCATCTAATTGTATGTGCTATCTATAAAGATCTGTCTTGTGGATAAGCCACAGTGACTCCACCTGCTGTTCCAGGTCCAAAATGTAAATCCGAAACATCCTACACACATGGTTGTTCTGGATGCTGGAAGTGTCTCTCAGTTCGCTCGTTGCACAGGAGGAGCACACCACAGCTGAGCAGCCTTGCCATGACTTACCCTTAAATTAGTTGCTTTACTTCAGCCCTTATCTTGGGGATCTTTACCTCACCCGCTGCACTTGATGCTGAATGCCTGCGTCAGGGGCGGGTAGGCCTCCCCCAAAAGACACCTAGTACCGTCACTGTCCCAGAAATGTACTCCAGGTCCCCAGTGACATGTGGAAGGATCATGGGGTAGTTGCTTCAGATGAGCTGTCACTGAGACATCGATTGAAATCCCTCTAGATACAGTAAAGCCTCTTGTGGAAGGCATGAAGTGACAATGCTTCTTATTTTCTGTTTTTTTTAATTCCATCTCCACCTCCAACTTCCTATTATGAACCATATTTTGTTCTTATGTAATTTTTTTTTAAGAAGTCACGCATGTTTATCAGAATATAGATGGTAACTCGTCAAAATATATCTTCAACAAAGACCCATGTTGATGTATTGCATAGATCAAAGTTATGGTAAATTGTGATCATCCCATATTTCCAATATCTTGATCTAATTTCCAGTCTCATATGCCAAAATATTTCATGCAACTGTCCTTGGAAATAACTTTCTTAACCAAACAGTTGGAGTTGCACGAAACACTGGGGCCGCTGATAAAAGGATTGACGTAGTTGCACCAATTGTGTGGTTTTGTAGTGCATGATGGCTGAGGAATGTGAAGTATTTGCTAGCCTTTTGTATTAATACATATGTGAAGATTTTTGAAGAAAAAGGCTTGAAGAACATCGTGTAAAACAAAACGTTGTTATTCTCCTGCTGACTGTGTACATATTTTTGCAGTGAATTGTCTTATTGAGTGATGGGCCTGATCCAAATTGACTTTCTTGCAAGAGGCAGTCTGTCATCTTTTGCTACAATTGTTGAACAGCGCAATAATCCCATTAAATTAAGTAGCGTCAAAGGATTTTGTGATCACTTTTTTTCTTGAAATTTGTTGCTAATGTAATGATTTCTAAATTAAATATCAGTTGATACTGAAAATGGAACTGGCAAATAGTTGAACAAAGAAACATTTAAATGACTTCTAGTTTACTGGAAAATTTGTTGCCTGCAATGTTGCTGGAGCTTAATATGTATTTTGAACATTATTGGTGTGGAATGGAGCGTACACTGACTTCTTTTTTCTACAGTTACAAAGCCTTATTGAGTCTGTGTTTTGTTTGCAGTGTTTGATCATGACGACAAAGCGTAATTTATTTGGAAGGCTGGTGCCATGTCGCTGTCTAAGGGGAGAAGAAGAAGCTGTCACTGTTTTGGACTATTCTCACTGCAGTTTGGAGCAGGTTCCCAAAGAGATTTTTCCTTTTGATAAGACCTTGGAGGAACTTTACTTAGATGCTAACCAGATTGAAGAGCTTCCAAAGGTGAGATATCTTTCTTTGGGAAAGCTTTACTTGCTGTAAACAGTAATTATAATCCCACTCCCCACACCCTTTGCCTGAGAAAGCACCTCCAAAGTAATTGACGAATTACAGTGCATCCTTACAATGTTCCTGTACTTGCCCTTCGTTAGGTGTGTTGCAGTTTTGCATCAATGTTCTGTTGCTTCCTTTATTTTTATTAACTGCTTTACTTCAGTAATGTGAAAATCTGATTCCATCGTCAAACATGAAAATCTACAAATAATCACCCAAAAATTTTAATTGTTAGTTTTCCACTGTTTGGCTGAGTCATCATAAATTAGTCAGTCATTAGAAACTCTCCACTCAATGGCCATTATCCTTAATGTTTGGTGTTTAGGCATGGAAGATTTGGTCTAGTTCACTGCTGTTACACGTTATAGCCCAATGATGGGCCTTTTGGAAATAATGGTAGATCAGCTAATGGTACGGGTGAAGACAAATCACTTTATCAGGTGTGAATTGTGCAAGTAGAAAGAGAATGCAGAGAGAAATTGTACATTCTTCACAAATAATGAAGGAATAATCTAAAATGGATGATGTAAGAGAGGTTTAAAAGGGGGGAGAAAAGCATTCGCCTCAAAGAATAGGAGCAGGAGTAGATCAGATGGACAACTGAGTCTGCTCCATCATTCAAGAAAATTATAGCTGATATTGGGCTTCAAGTCCACTTGCCTGCTTGCTCCTTGAATGCCTTGATTCCCAGGAAGGCCAACAGTCTCTTCTCTATCCCAACCTTAAATATATACAATGGTGGAACCCTCTGGGGTTGAGAATTTCAGAGATTTGCAATCCCCTGTATGAAGAAAGCCTTGGTTCTAAATGATAGCCTGTTTATCCTTAGCCTGTGCCCCTACGTTTTAGATTTCCTGATCTACGGAGGTAACCTCTGTTATCAATGTTGTCAAGAACTTTCAGAATCTTATGTTTAAATGAAGACAGCCTTTCATTCTTTCAAAGTATATGGACCCAATTTGCTCAGCCTTTCATCAAAGGACAATCCTCCTTATTCCTGTGGACAATATTTCATCCTGCAGATGGAGAGTGGAATTCTTAGCACCGAATAAAATGAGCAAAAATGAAAACCCAATACCATCAGCACTGAATTTTCCTGCTTGTCCTTTGACCAAATGAGCAGCATGTCACAGTTTGCACATTTTAGTCAACCACCAGCTGTTGCATCAGTCACCATTGGCTGTATTTCCTGTACGTAACCTACATCCTCCCTGCTGGCTGTCTTTCTCCATTCCAAGCACCACCTAAACCCCTGTTGATGAATATTCGGTGTCAGGGATAAGTCTAACTTATTTAGTTTTTTGTTTGACAGGAAGACCTCTCCAACAGCATATGACATGCATCAAAGTCTCCTTTTTTCCTTACTCCTTTTCCAGATTCCTTTTTCTTTGCCTCTCTTTCCTCCTTTCTGTTTCCCTCTTCCCCTTAATCTTTTCCATTTCCTCCATTTCTAATCTCGGTAATTGGAGAAAGTATTTGGAGAGACTGGAGAAGAGGGAAAGAAGTGTTTCTAGGGATGATCCTAGAACAGAGCCTGTTAAAATGGCTGGGGTGTGGGGGGGGGGGGCGTCTTTTGTGAAGAGAAGGCTTAGAGATAACTTGATTAATGCCTTTAAGACAGAAAAGTGCTTGATAGGCTAGATGTTGATGTTTCCAATTGTAGAGAGATCAAAACTAATTTTATTTCTCATTTTAGTTTGATAATTTAGTCAGCTACCTACTCTGTCCTATCATCCTGTCTAATCTCATCAGCCAGCAACCTAATGGTCAGGGTGGATAGTCCTGTGGTCTAAATGAAATGTCAACTATTTCATGTCTATTCTACTATGTGTGTGTGTGTGTGGGAGAATCTTCCCTTTCATGCATTGTAGACACTGACGTGGACCATTTGAGCTGTAAGACCTGTTCCTGTGTATTGTATAAATTGCTCAATTTCTGTCAATAGTGAATACAGCAAGATATTAAAACTAATTATTATATGGTTTGCATTTTGTTATTTCTACATACAAGGAACTGGTGAAACCTAACTCCTATAGAAACATTATGTTACTGCTACTATTAACTCAATCTATAAATGTTCAATTTATTTTGTAATCTAAGCCTGAAACAATTTTGTGTTGAAGCTGTTTGGCCACCTTCTGTGTACTGGAAGAATCCTGTGGAGACAAAAGAAAAACCCAATCACTAAAGTTTGAAAAAGAGTTATGTCTTTCCCAGGCCTGTCCAAATTTATGTAGCTCATGGGAGTCAGTGTGACAATTCTGTGATACAAAAGTTTAGGGTGCTTTGATAGTTTGAAACAGTGAGGTTAAGATATATGGAACTTAGGAACAGAAAAGCAACCATGCTGGCATATGAACTCATGTTGCTGATGCACCTGGATTCTGTTCCAGTGTCTTTAGGAACTTGCGTTTGTTCTCTCCACACTGATATTTCTTGTTTCTTTTACAATTTCTAGCTAACAAAGATTATGTTCAATCTTCGATAAAGCAAAAAGTTGCCCAGAAATTTGACAGGAATGCTTCAGGGCATAGGGAGCAAGGCCTCCACTTTTGGAACTATCTAAGATGCTCAAGAGGAAGTAGCTAGAGTTTTAAGTCTGAAATGTAATTACTTCATATCGAGGATTGTAAATGTGAAAAATGCCTTGCTCAGCCTAGTAATGGGAATGGAAGTAAAAGAACCTTCAAAATGAACTGAGGTGAAGGTCCAGGCTTGTCGGTGTCAATATGGTTGAAAAGCGAGATTCAGTAGGTCTCCCAGAGTTGTTTAGTTGACACTTGGTTTATGTTTTAAGAGCCCTAAGGATGAACTAAACCTTCGTTTAATTATTACCTGGGTTTCTCATGCATCACTATAGTTGGTGCGCATAGTTGTTGCTTCACTGGTGGACTTTTTCATTAGTTTTATGTTTAAGACATGGGTGAAAGAAAACTGGTTTCATTTCTTATTTTGAGCTTCACTGCTAGATGCTTATGTTCTGATTTCATTTTTATTGCATCTTGCTTTAATATAATTTTATTTTGACTTCTGCCATACAGCAACTATTCAATTGCCAGTCTCTGCACAAGTTGAGCATGCCGGATAATGATCTGACTGTTTTGCCAGCATCCATTGCAAATCTTATCAATCTCAGGGAATTGGATGTCAGCAAGAATGGTAAGATGCTTTTGTCGTATTTTTCAAGAGTTTTAAATATCAGATGGCAGATGTTTTTTGTAAAGCGACTTGAAAGATGAATAGAAAAGCCACTAGCTTTAGGAATGGCGCAGTCTTTTCTGCATGATCTGGTTTGAATAAACATTAAAATATTCTCTTTTCCTGGTGCTTTAGTGGGTGAGTGAGAACCATATGTTGTGTTATTTGACCATGCACACCAAGATGTTCCCTGGTTGGGATGTTGCCTGACCTGCTCAGTGTTTTCAATACATTGTGGGTTCCTTCTCCCTCCCCCACCTCATTGAGAACAATAGTTGAAGCTAAATGCCATACAGTTTAGAAACTAACTCGGTGCAGTCCTTGTGGAATCACATCTTGATAGCTGCAATAAAAGAACTGCTCCAGATCTAGGTCAGAATCTGAAATTCAGAATGCAATTTTTCCTTTAAGATTATTTTTTCCATCTGTGAAAAATTGATGCATTTTCAATAAGTTGAGCCAGATGTTTTCTATCTGTAGAATTGGACTGTCGTCATTTTATAAAATGGTGATTGTTACGGAACTCATTTGGCTTCTGATACAATGAAATTTCTGCTGTGCAAATGTGTTCCTTACAATACCAGTCACCTTGGAATGTGCATGCCGGTAGCTAATCTGTAATGTATGCTCTATAAGCAGTCTTGAGTTCACGTACTTTAATGGATATTTTGACGAAATACATCAGTTTTCTTTCATGAGCTGTATTCTATTTCTCCTGCGATGAACAATGGAAGATTCCTGAGGCTTTTTGTAAGAGTAGCTAATGGATTTTTTTTTGCTATTAGAAGGGCCCCAAGGATCCTCCTCTTCGTCATCTATGTGCTCCCATATGGCAACCTAATCCAAAGACACATGGTCAGACACATTTGTGAAATCTGACAACACTCAGCTCAACATATTTGCCGCCTCTCCTAATCCCTCCTTTCCCTAGTTATCAAAACTACTTGGCAGGCATTCAATCCTAAATTAAGCTGCAGTTTCTTCAAGTTGAATATTAAGCAAACCAAAGCCATTGTCCTGAACTCCTGCCACAAATGCTTAGCGCTGATTTCCAAACCACTATATCAATGACCTACTTGTGGAGCTGAGCTCCTGACCCCAATGTTAGCTGATATTATCTACATCCTCAGGTGCTGTTTCTCTCTCTTCAAAATCTACTGCCGGCACCCTGTCTCCTCAAAAGAATTACCCATGACTGTTCTGTCCTTACAAACTACAGTTGTTATGCCTCACAAAAGGTTAAAAATTTTATCAAAGTGGGCAAAGTCCCTAATTTGTGTGTCAGATGGACTCAATTTAACCAAAAAACATGGGCTAGGTTTCTTTTTAAAAAAAAAGACCCATCACTTGTCACAAATAAGTAGATTCCAACCACACATAAACAACTATGCCCTGTTGATGTTTAACTCTACTGGTTAAAACTCCAAACCCCTTCTAAATCCCCACACACATACAGTTGGTAGAAGAAAGAAAACAAAATACTGGGGAGGTAGTTTAATAGCACCAGTATTCAGGATTAAGAATGAAGTGTTCCTTTTGTTTCCAAGACCTCCCACTCTCTGATCTTTTCATTCAGTTTCTCTCACTTCACAGGAGGCTGAATGTGACTGGTTGTTGAATTATAAAGTCTCTGACTTGTTGGTTAAAAGCAACAGCTTACACAAACTGCTGGGAGAAAATATACTGTCTCCGTTCAGGATCTAGATATTTTTCTGGAGAGAGAGATGCATACCATACCCCCTTCCAGCAGTTCAAAGTCTTTTGCCAGTAGCATTCACACCACAGCTTGCTGAGCTAGCCAGAGGACCACCGGATCGTCATTGCCTGGCTAATGGCCTTTGGCATCCACAAGCTAATCAGCAACCTGTTGCTGGCCGAATCTCACACCCCCTGGTGGCAGTTGTCTGTAAGCAGCTTCCCCCTCTGCTTGATGAAGCAGCAATGTAACTGCAACTTACAATCAGTTTCAATGACTGGCTTTTTACTATTGCAGCAATTTCCTTTGCCAGTCCCTCATTTTCAAACAGTCGTCTTTTTCCATTTCAGTCTATAATTAAAAATAGAGAAAAATAGAAAGATATGTACTTTACACTGTCCCACCTCCAACCTGACTTTCCTTGCCCAAGTCTTTGAACATGTTGCCTCCCAAACACATTGTCCTTGTTCCCAGAACTCCATGGTGAATCCCTCCCACTTGGTTATCATCCTGCTATAGCCTACTGAACTAGCTTCAAACAGTGAGAGGGAAAGGAAGCATATCCGAATGTTTGGTCTCTTCCTGCTCCAATCCCATTACCCCCGGTGTCTCCCAAAGATCAATCCTTGGTTCCCTGCTGATCTCATTTACATGCTTGTCTCCTTTGACTCCATCATCCAAAAGCATGACATTAGTTTTCATGTGTAGACTGGTAACGCTTTGTGTTTTTCCCCCCTCCCCCCACCAACTCCTCAACATCTCTTGACTCCCCACTTGTTGCTAAGTTGTCAGACTACTTTGCTGATATCCAGTACTGGATGAGCAGCAATTTCTTGCTGTAAAGTCTGGGAAAACTGTGAAGCCATTGTTTGCGGTCCATGTTCCAAATTCATCTCCCTAACTATTGTCTCCACCTCACTTCCTGGCTGCAGTCTGAGATTGTCAATCTGTCCACACCCTTGGTGTAATGTTGACCCCAAGATGAGTTTCCAACTTTGTGTTCGTGCAATCTATATCCACCTCCAAAGCAACACTTGACTTTTTGCCCATCTCAGTTTCTCTGTGACTGAGACCCTCATCAATGCCTTTGTTATGTATTGACTTGACTATTTTGATGCACATCTGGTTGATCTCCCATGTTTTGCCCTCCATTATGGAAGATGTTGAGATAGTGATATTGTCACGGGGATGGTAATCCAGAGGCCCAGACTAATGCTCTGGGGACAGAGGTTCAAATCCCACCAAGACAACTGGTGGAATTTACATTCAGTCAGTACATCTGGAATCTAAAGATACTCTCAGTAACGACCACCATAAACAAGTAAACATTGTTTGTCTGAAAAATCCATCTTGTTGCGTAATATCCTTTGGGGAAGAAAATCTGGTCAAACTATCATGTGACTTCAGAGCCACAACAGCATGACTTATTCTTAATTGTCCTCTGAAATGACTGAGCAAGTCACTGTTCAAAAGGGATGGTACTGTCAGAGATGGGCATATTCCGTGAAGGAATAAAACAACAATAACTCCACCCCCGTGTCTTATCCTTTAGCGAGCCCTGACCACCTGTTACCCTTTTGATCAATGGCATGCATAGGCTCCTGGTCAAGCAACATCTTGATTTTAAAATTCTTATTCTTGTATTAAAATTCTTCCATGACCTTGCTCCTCCCTATCTCTACAGTCTCATCCAATCCTGCAATCTTTTAAGATATTTGCATTCCATCAGTTTTGACCTCTTGGGAAATTTGAATCATAAGCTCTTCACTATTATGTGTATTCAGTTGCCTAGGCCCCAAGCTCTGGAATTCCATCTTTACACCTCACTGCTTCTCTCTGTCTCTCACTTATGTTGTGACATTGTGACGTATTTGTAGATTGGAAGGCAGGACGTTAGAATTAGTTTGTAAAATGATATGGGGGGACGAGTGTGCGGTCCCTTTAAAAGATATGTTTTTTTAAGGCTTGGAGATTTAAAAAAAAGTCTGCAGGCAGCATCAGATGCACAGACAGTTCTTGAAATTGAAACATTTTATCAAAAGGCAATACAGTTGGCAACGCAACATTTTTACCAAGACAACCGGTTTTTGAATTTAGCCAATTAATTTAAACCAGGTCCTAGAAACCAAAGTCAAATTAAATTTAAATCTGATGGCTTTGACAACCTCGGACCAATCCTATTGTAAGAAATTAATAGGTCATCAAGGGTCTGAAAGAAAAAAGACCATTTGAAAATTGGTGTGAGAGCAAACTGCCATCTGTTAAGAGAACAGCTCTCAACAGCCATCAGCTCTAAAGAAAGAGAAAATCACTGGCTCTGACAGAAATCTCTAAGATCTCAGAATAAGCGCCATCTGAATAAAGGTGCTATAGCACTCTTAGCTAATATTCCTAACACAAGAATTTGATGGAGGAAGGTGTTCCTGACTGGAAGATAGCAGAGAAAGCAAAGAACATTCCGGAAGATTTATCCTAGCTGTAATTTTGAGAGATTAAGCTTTAATCTATTTATTTGTTATCAATTTGGTTTATATTAATGGGATTTGTATCTATTGGAGCAGCATGCTGTTAGAATTTTGTTCTAATCAGGAATAGTTAGTAGTTAAAGGGGGAGTTGTTCTGTTTGTTAGTAGTTCTGTTAATTTGTTCACTGTTAGAGTTAGATAAATAAATTGTTACTTGTTGCTTATAAAGTGAGTATCAGGAATTTCATTTCGTTTAACCATCCCCTCCGTAACACTTGCCTCTTTTAAGAACATACTTAAAAACTTACTCCTGGGCCAGACTTTATCTGATGGCATATCATTGTATGTGGCATGTTCTGTCATGCACCTGTGAAGTTTCATTATGTTAATAATGCTGTTTAATATGCATTCTTCTAATAAACTCTTTCACAAAGAATTCTTACCTGAAGCTCCTTGATGTCAGTCACATCCTGTCCACTTAAAGCCTTTGTTCAAACCTATGTCACTTCATACCTACTTCTACTTCTCTACTGCTTAATTCTACTTCTCTCTTGCTTAATATCCTACAACATCCATGACTGTATTTCATTGTCTGCTCACTAACTTGCTATTCACTCATCAGTCAAATGCCTTTCATTTCAAATACTTGATTCTTGCTTTAAATTGCCTTAGTGGGTGGGCCAGTGGGCCTATGGCCTGCTCTATTAGCACTCCAAGAACTGGATTTCTGTAATTGTGGCTTTGTGTCCATCCCTCATTCCTCTCTTCCACTATTGGAAGCTGTACCTCCAGTGTCTTTG